ATCAAGCAGTGGAGCGACACAGCTGGCTCAACAAGACTCTGTTCTCCATTAAGCTATGATACCCAAAGCTATCAATGGCAGAAATTAATTTAACAATCCATCCAGATTCTCAGCTATCTGCCACAGGCACCATTTCCAGGAAGCATTAACTTTCTACTCCTAAGTACCATCAGTGGGAGTTTAACATTCAAACCTATGCCTGTCATTTTTATTTCATGACTATCTTCAAAAATTTAATTTTCAGTCATAGCCACAACAGTAAACAACCCCAGTTACTTTCCAGTAACACTTTTTTTTTTTTTTAAATCACCTCCCAGCATACATTTACTTGGTACTTAATAAGAATTTCTTTCACTGTCACCTACCAGAAAGAACACAAAAGCCAACAAATATGACACCTGTGAAAATGTGAACTTTATCCAAGAGTCAGGAATATCACTCTGTACTCAAAGTTTCAGTCAGCTGCTGATAACCCAGGCAGCGCTATTTCTGCTTCCTCCCATCCATCTCTTCTTGCCTCACTGCTGCTTGCAGGCTCTCATCTGACCCCATGGTGAGCTGCTTTAAACAAACACCAGGAGCAGCAGCAGAGCCCTTGCAGCGGATTACTTCGATTACCAAACCACATCCTCCTACTTGAGGCATAAACTCTAAAATGCCTACAGTGCTAATTAAGATCACACAGACATGGGAAAGAAATACCAAAGAAGCCTTTCTAGTTTGATTAGAAGCAGTGTACTTGCTAAAGAAGCAAGACTTATTTTGGTCACAGATGCCCCTTAAGAAGTAGTTAAAAACATTCTGGAAAAACTCTCACCCTCCCAGCAGAAGTCTTTTCAGGACATGAACTGCTAATGGCTTTAGTCTCTGAGGTGTTGAAAGTAGCACTGAGAAAGTACCCGGTCAGCACACACATCACTCATCAGGAAGTAAGCTATTCTGAAGGTGAATCTTACAAAGGAGAGATTTCCAGCCTCAGAGCTAGAAAAAACACTTCAAGGTTAACATGCATGCTGCCAGGGGAAGTGCCTCTGTTTTCATTAAATATGCAGCATGCATATGAACTTCCGTGGCAAAAATCAGCATTTAAAAAGCAACAGGAACTTAAAAGCTAGTTAATGCAGACACCTTCAGATGCAGCAGCTGGTTTTGATTATTTTTGTAAATGCAGTGTTTGCTGTATGAGAAGAGAATAGGAAAGAAGTAAATTGCTAAACTAAAATCCATTAAGTTGACTGTACTAGTTAACAGTAAGCTACTGTAACAGCAGCATAGTCTTTCAATCGCTGAACTCTTTGCAAGATGGCATCTGTCTTGCCTTATAAGTACTTAAATCTTGACACCAACTGCTGCTGGCAAAATAACTGAACAGGACTGTTCTCATTTTTAACCTGATGACTAACAGGCACTCTGCCATTTCATGCCATATCCACAGTTCCAGTGAAGTAGTCAGGTCGCTTTATTGATTCGATGGATTCAAGGAGCAACCCCAAGCTGCCTCTCTCCTAATACACGACCATTTATATATCCTGTATCATCTCCTCTTTCAAAAGCACCCAACTGCAAAAGGCTTTTAGTACAAGAGTCTGAAGGAGTTACTCACCAGAAGTTTCACCACCACAGTTTCCTCCCTAGAAGAGAGACAAACACATTACATCTCACACTTCACAAGGTACATTTCCCCCTCCCTCGAGAGGGTGCTCAACACCCCATGCTATGACCATGCTGGTTGGCACGCTGCTCTATTTACAAACACTTTGAGTGACAGACCCAACAAAGCGCTTTTAGACATGCTCTTAGGGACAGACATCAGAGTGGCCTGGAGGGTTCCGCACACACATTTCTGCAGATTAGTATTGTTATTCCCACACTGTGAAGGATGCAGATGGGCAAGAACACTTTATCCTATACAGCATCCTACACTAGGCAGCACTGAACACCCTAACTGCCCAGCAGTAGTGACAAGAAAGTTATACTGCAAGCAATTAGCAATGGCTCAGTGTCCCCCCCTTTCCTCTAAGCGACTCCTTCCCACACCAAACACTTATCTGTTAGCAAGGCCAAGAGCTTGTGTTCTATCCAGGATATTTAACTTCATCTGTGACATACGGCCCAGTTTTTTGGAATGTTGCCGACAAAGTTTCTTTCACTACACAAACAGCAAACATTATTTTCATACTGGATCTGTTCACAGGCTGCAACTTGACACAAAGATACAGAAAGTCTTCCAGCAGCAGCCAAGGCTCCTCGATGGCATGAGGTTTTATCAGCTTTCATAGATTTAACACTGTTAATTACATAGTGAAACTGCAGTCATCAGGATATGAATGCATAGGAACTCATGCAAATAGATCTCTCCACGTCTCAGACTGGGCTACAGTACATTAGCTCCGGCTTCTGCCTTTTGCAGCTGAAACTACTCTATAAAATTAAAGTATTCCGCGTTGGAAGAACCTGTTTGCAAAGCTCAGAACCACAGTATTTAATACAATTAAGTAGAAAATAGAATTAGACTAAAACAGTTTATTTTTGTTTTCTCTAGTAGCAGTTATAAATTTAATCTCACTTATATTTGCTAAATTGGAACAAGACAAATGTTGTTCTGCAACAAAGAACAATTTCATAGCTCAAAGTGCCTATTAATAACAAAAATGAGTTAAAGTGATGATGGAAGCCAATTATCAAAATAAAACTTGCTGTTTATAACCCATGAGGCAAAAGGTATCTGCCACAACATTTGCGATCAGCAAGTTACCCACCCAGGTCTTTTCAGAAAATCTAAAGCTGGAGAGCTTTAAAGAACAAGGTTTCTATTTTTCCTGTAGAATTTAATTTATTCAAGTGCAGTCTACCTTAGTCTACCCTTCCTGATTTTCCAAGTTCAGAGGAATTATTACTCTTCATCCTGTTTTTCCCCATTAAATGCAAGCATACACCAAGCAAACCCCATGTTAATATTACAAACCATGCTCCACATATTGCTACCAAGTAGACAGTTTATATAGAAAGGGACACACCTGATGCTATTATAAAGACAGTAACAGAAATAAAACAAGCATCCATGCTACTGAGTTGGGATGGGAAACCAAGTCTTTTGTCAGTCAACAGATCCACACAGAGTTTGTTGTGGGTAACTACTGTTTGTAAAATCTGTTAAAACACACAATTATACATATGGCTGAAGCTAGATTTCACACCACTGTCTCATCAATAAGAAGAGTTAAGAGCAGGACAAAGGGGTCCTTTTAGAAAAATCCAGTCCTTCATCAACATACTGTATGTAAGACTACTGCTTGGCAAAGAGAACCTTCAGGAAAAGAACAGATTCAAATCCTACAACGCTTCCAACTGTGCCAGCATGGGTGATAAAGCAATCGCACACAGAGCGTGAATTGTGCCATTATCAAGCTCTTTGTAGCTAATGTACTGACCTTCGGATCTACAAAGTCTCCATAGTTTGCATCAGTTGAGTTTGTTCTTTGTGGTCCAGACGATTCACAGTCTTCTCTGGTTTCACCTGGCTTAGTCCCTACAAGCAGAGATTAGTTCTAATCAGGTTGCAAGATAAACTTACTGGGAAAACAGAATATAAATAGTCATTTTATATACAAACATATAAATAGAATACAAATATGGGGGGTTGGGTGTTTTGAGGGGGTTTGTTTTGTTTTTCTAAATTAAAGCTTTACCATTCTAAGAAGTCCTGGTCCTTCAGATAATGAGTCACAAATTACTGTCTTACAACACAACAGCATCTCACGCAGCTGAGAATGTAATTTAAACCCACGGAAAGCAGGTTCCCAAGGCCAGCCACACTTGAAGTGCGCTGCCAAAATGGAAGCTTAATCCCAGCTGCGAGTACAACACAAAGCTAAACTCCTCTGATTAATCAAGACAAATCAGTGCTGCTCTGAACACTAAAACATGTTTGCCTTAATGATCTTGGAGAAATTACATTCAAAATACAATTCTCTTAGGTATCTGCTTGCAAAATCTATGTCCAAGACTTACATTAAAAAAAAAAAAAAAAATTAATGCATGTCAGCAGCTCTGGAAACAAAGCTCTATGTTCTTACCCGATGATTTAGCCCAGGAAGGTGGGTTTTCTTCAGGAGTTCCAAAGATGCTGGATGCCATTTTGTTCCTTCGCACGGGTTGTTCTTTTGGTTCATCAAACCCCAAGGAAAAGTTGGACCCACCACCGGGAGGACGCAGCACTCTGGAGAGAGAGTCAGCTTTACAGCCTGGTGTGTACCATTACAGAGCTGCACTCCAACACATAAAACATGACTAATAAGCCAAGAGATCATTGTTGGCTCTTGTAATGGGCAGTCAACCCAGGCTAAATTCTGTCCAAACAGAAACCACCCGAGATGACTGATCATGCATTGACTTTAACAAATTACACCGACTGTTATGTCTTCAGCGCAGAATTTGAACTATAAAGATAAGCTGCCTGCCAGCATTCAATCCAGGCACTGTGTCTCCACTGCTCTTCTCTTTGGTGACACTGACAAAAATAAAATACTCCTGTGCTCTACTTGTGCCTTTGCTCTACTCTGTTGTCAACCAGAGCTGCTGCCACCAGTCTTCAGTCTGAGCCAATTAAAAAATAAATAATAACAATTTTAAAAGTATGTGGGCATGTCAAATTCCAGCTGTTTTAAGAGAACGCTGTGAAGGCTAAAATAAATCTTCAAGCTGGCAGCACAGCAAAGACTAAAGTTTGGCACAAGCTGAAGTACTGGTTGCATCACTAATGACGGGGGGCTGCAGCCTTTATCTAGATTTCATCCCTCAAGTCTGCAGCATGCGACTGGACTAGACTTAAAAGATGCAATTAAACAGTTTTAAGTTAGACTATTATTATTAGAAGCAGGTGTACAAAGCTCCAGATACATAACCTAAATTGAACAATCTTCTATTAGACAGACACAAAAGAAGCCCGCCCAGTACTTCATCAGCTGTATTATGGTCTGCCTTGCAACTTGCAGGAATCAACCAAAATGAACAACAACAAAAAAATCTTGAAATGTAGGTTCCTTCAGATCTTATTTTCTTAAGCACAAGATTTTTTTCAAGGCTGACGCATGATCTGGAGAAGCCAGACAAAAGCTAATAAAAATGTATAAGGCCATATGAGAACTGCCATAATCCCCAAAGAGATGCAAGAACACAAACAGAACGGGGCACTCAAGACACCCAGTGCTCTGAAGACCAGAACACGCTAGGGAAGGAGCACACTTCTTCTTTTCAAATAATTTAATAAATTAAAGTTATAGAACTTCGCAACAGAAAACAGTACAGAGCTTGGTAAGGCACCAAATCCAGGAATCCAACACAAAGAACCCGTCTGTTTTTACACATCATCGCCATCGGCAATAGCATTCAGATCTTTAGAGACTCTGTGCCTATTGCATTCCAGATGCAACTGCAAAAACACTTCTCCAGCCTACAGAACTCAACAGCAGGGAAATTCACAAAGGTGTCTGGCATGGATACATCGTGTTACTTAACTAGCAAACTACCTTTCCTTACGAAATTCTTCTCCAAAGTTCTAATTGCTCAGTTGCTAATGGGAGGATCCCAGTAGATTTTATAATATAATAAGAATCCAATAACATTTTAATTACTTGCTTTGTCTCCTTTCTAAATGAATAAATAGGGTATAATGGTCTTGAATTGCTCCCTTATCTTTTGTTCCAGGGGAAAATGTCCTGGTATAGGTGGTTTATTTTCTTAGTTATATCTGTTGCACTTACTAATTTGAAGAACAGTCGGTCCAGAGAAGGGCTTATTCTCACATTTTGGATCACCTTTATTTTACCAGAGCAGTGAAATCAGTACTCTCCTAAGGGCACAACGGTTTCCACTGACAGTCTTAATGAAATTAACAGAAGAGGCAATTAAAGGAAAGAAACCATCACTCATACTGTTAAAGAGGAATAATCCCTCTTGCCAACCTCAGCTAGGCAGGTTTTATTAGAAGCCTCTCACAGCCCTGAGATGTCGTAACATGCTTCATCCAAGCCACATTTAACACTTCCAGCAACGAACCCCTCTTAAAATTGCACCTGATACCCAGTGATGCATACGGAAAATTCATCCACAGCTCCATCCAGGAAGCATTCCTGTAAAGGGTTTTGGGTTTATTTTTGGTGTTTTTTTACTTTGTTTTAAACTGCACCCCAAAAAGCTAAAAACAAGCAGTACCTGCTTTTTTTCTGTAAGGTTTTGGTCTGACAAAGACACGATCCTCTCCAAGCCAGCTGTTACTGCTGCGGAAACGCGGATGCCCGACAAAGTGCCGTGCATCTCCCCCAGACCTACCTGCCAAGTTTTCTTTGTTCCGAGACAGGCTGCGGCTCCCCCCCTTTCCCCTCCCCA